GTAAGGGTAGCATGTAGTGTGGTGAGGCGCCGGCAAACAGTTTCTTAACTTCGTTCAGAGAATCGTTTCGCAGATAGAGAAAGCAGTTTTGAGGTCAGCGTTTCAAGGAGAATGCAACGCCACACACCTCGTTTTGGTTGGCCAGCTTGGCAATATGACTATCCCCTGTGAGAGCTAGGGCTTGCTGTCTGCCGTGCAAATAATCGATCAGTGATAAAATGGTGTATATCGCAACCGCAGCGTTAAGTTATTAGTCAGTCACATTCATCCAGATTACCTGTTGTGAAAACGAGACCTTGTGTAGCGATAAGCCAAAGGGTGTCCCTTATCAGTGAATGTTTGTTCTGTGTTTCACTGGATGGGGACTAACAGAGCATAAGCCATTGTAAAGCCTACAATTAGTTTGTTGTTGACACAATTTGTTTGTTGTTTATTGTATGTTCTGTTAAAGTTTGTTGAGTTCAACACATAAAATTTGTTAACTCAGGTTAAAGTCAGATGGTGATCTTATCATGTTGCATGGCGATAAGCCGAGAAGGAAGAAGATATCGTCTAATCAAGTGAACCACCGAAGCGATAAGATATTTGGTTATGATAAGATAGACATAGATACTTAAGCAATCCTGAGTAGGAATAAACACTTATTCCGTGCATTCGTCTCCCCTCGACAAGTGGTGCATCGGCTATCTGATCAAACTGCTCCGGAAAGTATGCACAACCCTCAGACAATTGGTATTCTTCGGACGCAATTTCAAAGCATCTGCAGTTGAAGAAGAAGAGCAGGTGGGCCTTCAATTGAAGGTTGCATAAGTATACAGTACTCTGCTAACTGTAGGATAGAAAAGGCAAGGTTTCAAGTATTCTGCACAATCTGCATTTTATTTCCTGAGCATATTTCGAACAAATCGATCAAAACTTTGCTTAGTAACAAAGATTCGATTTAAGTTCGGTGAAAATGGCAACATCACTGAAAGCGAGGAAAGGGGTGTTGACCAGGCATTCAAATAATCTGTCCCGAAGTTTAGACAGATACTCTACTTTGGGAGATGAAGCAAACTTAGAAGACCGGGAAACTTGCAGAGCAGTCCTAGCCGAAATTCAGATAGCTGAGGTAGAAATCAAAGCACTTCAAGGCACCTTTGAAAATGCTCTTTTTGCATTCACTGATGCGATAGATAATCTTAAAGATCCACTGACTGAAGACGAAGAGGGGAAAGTCTCCGAATATATCGATAACGCTCAGGACCTTATTGACAAGTCAGCTAGTTTGCTCGTGAAGTTTCGAAGTGAACAAGAAACAGATTGCATCCCACAATTGTCCAGAGGTCCGCGGAGCAATGCAGCAGCTGAATAAGTCACCAGCTTGGGTGGAACTACCAAAAATACCACTACCAGAATTTAGCGGGAAAAGCTGGCAGTGGGACAGTTTCTGGGAACTATTCGACACAACAGTGCATTCCCTTCAGTTGTCAGATCTTCAAAAATTCAACTACCTTCTGAGAGCATTGAAGGGGGAAGCGCGTGAGTCGATTAGCAAGGTTTCAAGTAACCTCAGCCAATTATAATCTAGCAGTAGCCCATCTGAAAGAGAGATATGGTAACGTCCAAAATATAATTACCAACTTGCATCGCCAGTTGGAGCATTGGACATCTAAAACCACCCATCTAAAGGACCAAAGGAAACTTCATGACCAATTGTCTGCAATTACAACTCAGCTTGTGAGCAAAGGGGAATCCCTCGATAGTCCATGGCTACTATCGAAAATACTTTCAAAATTTACGGAAAACATCCAGAGAAATACACTCAAGGAAAAAGTTTCCTTACCCCCGCATGAAAGGTGGACATTGACAAAGCTCATGACTACCTTTGGATGTTGTCATAAAACAGGAAGAAGAGATTGAACGGCATATGCCCAAACAATCTGACAGCAGGCAATATCCAGAAAAACCGAGTGAAGAAGATTGAAACAAGAAACGAAAAACTCGTTCACCATTTTGTTTCTATTGCGAGAGCAAAGAACATTGGTCAACAGATTGTACCAAAATTACAGCTCCAAAAGCAAGACTCGAACATCTGAAGAAAAGCAACCGCTGCATAGGTTGCGGATCGAAGGGACACAGTTTTGCTGAGTGCAAAGCTAGAGGATGTATGCACTGTGGAAAGAAGCATCACACTTCTACATGCTTCAAATCAAGTGCGACTCATGAAGCTTCGAAAGCACAAACTCCGAATTGGAAGAAGGAAGAGAAGCAAAAATCATCCAAAGCTCGACAAAATCTTACATTGTGTGAAGAAGAAGACACACATACGGACAATGATAATACAGATAACTTTACGGTGATGAAAGTAGAAGACGCTTCTCATCGAACCCAACAAGGGGAGATATTTCTTCTAAGTGGAGCGTTACGAACACTGCACCCTCGAACGAAGAAATTTGTCAAAGTCAGTGTTCTCTTAGATACAGGTGCGGATCGCAGCTTCATCGATGAAAGACTAGCCAAAAAACTTCAACTACCTAACCACGGAGTAGTCTCGATGAAACTCAGCACATTTGGAGCAGCAACCGCGAAAGGAAACCCAATGCATCAAGACATGCATGAATGTGTGGGACTCTGAAGGAGCAACGAGAGCAACATAAACTACAACTCTACACTCACAAAATTCTTACAAGAAACATTAGTGGAGGGAAACTTCAACAAGAAGATCTTCAGTACATCCACAGAAAGCAGATAACATTGAGCTCTGCACCAAGTGGCATAGCTCAACCTCCTGAAGTTTTGATCGGATGCGATCAGCTTTGGAACTTCATAAAATTTGAAGCACCACACTTTGTTCTGCCATCAGGGCTGAAACTTATACCCACAAGTCTGGGGTACATGGTGACTGGAAAGCGTATACAAAAACACGCACATTCAAAGCTGCACTCGACAGTTCATTCGATAGGAACCGAACGAGATAATGACCTTTGGGAAAGTCACTGGAATGAAGAAAGCAAAAGCATAGAAAAGGAGTACTGTGGTCCTGAAAAAGAAGAAAAAGCTCGCATCAATGAGCAAGTTCTGAAGAACTTCAATAGCTCCATTAAGAAATGTGACAAAGGCTATGTCGTTCGACTTCCATTCAAAGAGAAGCACGACTACCTACCCGACAATAGAGCACTGGTGTTACATCGTTTGAAAAGTGTATTTCACAAATACAAAGGAGAACCCGAAATACTGCGACAGTACCACGAAGTATTTCAAGATCAACTGAACAAAGGCATTCTAGAGGAAGTAGACGAAGCTCAAGATATTGCCGGAAGACCAAAGCATTACCTTCCTCATCAACCCGTGATCACACCTCTGAAAGATACCACAAAGTTCAGAGTGGTATTTGATGCGTCAGCACATTATAGAAACTGCCCTTCACTGAATGATGTTGTGCATCAAGGACCTACCATACTCCCCAAGTTGTATGGAATGCTCCTACGCTTTCGCACAGGCAAAAACGTCCTACTTTCAGACGTAGAGAAAGCATTCCTACAAGTGCATCTCCATAAAGAAGATCGAGATTTCACGAGGTGCCTGTGGGTAAAAGATATAACGAAACCACTGACGGATGACAACCTGATCGTCTACAGATTCAAGCGAGTTACCTTTGGCATCAATGCCTCACCATTCCTTCTCAGTGCGACTATTCACTTTCACTTAAACAACTACGTAGAAAACAGAGCACTGGCAAGCGAAATCGCATCAAATCTTTATGTCGACAACCTAATTGTGTGGGCAGAAACAACAGCTGAAGGAATACAGAAGTACAAGGATCTAAAATCAATCTTCAACGATCTCAAAATGAATCTCAGAGCATTCATATCCAACAACTCAGAAGTAATGAGGGCTATACCAACGTCTGACCGTTCTTCAAACCTCACCCCAAAAAGTGCTTGGAATCCCTTGGAACTCGATTGAAGACGAGATTTCCTTGCACGTCAAGGTCCGGGAAGACGATTGTGTCAGCAAACGCACTGTTGCCCAGCAGATTGCGTCTGTATACGATCCACTTGGATGGCTTATCCCACTCATGGTAAGAGCAAAGCATTTTCAACAGCTTCTATGGAAAGAGCACTATGACTGGGATGAACCACTGAATGAGAAACATAAGCAACAATGGCACTGCATTATCAAAGATATCTCCGATTTCCATAAAAAGTTACCAAGAAGGATTACACAAGATGGAATAGCATCCTATGCACTGGTCACGTATTCCGATGCCAGTGCAATCGCTATGACAGCATGCACTTACCTTGTGAGTAACAACACTTCAAACTTGTTGATGGCCAAATCGAAGGTTTCGGACAACAAACATCCAACTACAATGCCAAAAATGGAAATGAATGCCTTAGCGATTGGGGCAAGATTGACCTTCAACACGTTGTTAAGTCTTAAAGATTCTATAAGCATCAAGAAGATCATGTTCCTGACAGACTCAGAAATTGTGTTGAAATGGCTTCGAAACCACTCAATTCGTAACAAAACAGGGCCATACGTCACCAACCGGGTGCGAGAAATACAAAAAATTGTACAATCACTAACACATATGGGAGTCAAGGTAGAATTTGGCTATATCGAGACCAAGTGGAATCCGGCAGACATTGGGACACGTGGAGCATCCGCACAGGAAATTTTGTCACATGTGTGGTGGAGAGGATATCCACTTAAGAGAATTCTCGATGGCAGATTTGCATCTAACTTCTTCAGTCTTTCAAAGGAGTTAGAAGGAGAAGAAGAAACGGAATGTGTTTCTCCAGTATATGCTATGAAGACTCGTGAAGGAAGAGTCGAAGATATTCTAGACCTAGCAAGGTACAGTAGTATTACAAAATCGCTAAGGGTCCTAGCATATGTCATTCGATTCCTTAAAAGCATCACTTCTCGCTTGGATAATGCTCTTCAGAGCAAACTACGGAACAATCTACCTTGCCTCAATGATCCAAACCAAGAACAGTACCTAACAGCATCCGACATTAGAAATGCTCACGATGTACTGATTAGGAATCATCAAGCTGTACATATATCTCCACAATACAAAAAGGCACTTTCTAAAACTCTAAACATGAAGGAGGACAAGAAACAGTTGTTGCGGGCTTATGGACGTCTAAATAAATCCGAGCTAAGCAACACGGCTAAAAACCCTATTCTCATTGCCCCTCACACGGAATTAAGCCGCTTGATTATACTGGATGCGCATGGGAAGTATCACAATGGCATCGGCCACACGATAGCCGAAGTGAGGCAAAAATACTGGATTCCTCGACTTAGAGAGCAAGTAAAAAGATGCATACGGACATGTATCGCTTGTCAAAAATTGAACAATCTGCCGTATAAGTATCCAGAAATGATGGATCTTCCGGAACATCGAGTAAAGAAATCACGACCATTTGAAAACATAGGGTTGGACTACTTTGGCCCCATCACTATCCGTAACGAAGCACGAGAGCACAGAGAAGTCTATGGATGCATATTCACGTGCTGTGTTACTCGTCTTATCCATCTAGAAGTAGTATCAGATGGTTCGACTGAAAACTTCCTCAATGCATTCCGACGATTCGTAGCTCGTAGAGGTAAACCGCATTCAGTGACTTGCGATAATGCACCAACATTTATACTTGGAAGTCAGATCATAAACGATTGTCTTGGTGCAGATATCAGAGATGACGAGCTATCCCGCACTATGAGCAATCAGTTGATCGAGTGGAAGCATATCACACCATACTCCCCATGGAAAGGCGGTTTTTACGAACGACTCATCAAAACAGTGAAGCATGCCCTGATCAAAGCTATACTGGAAGACGCATTCTGACAATGGAACAACTATGCACTTCCTTAGTTGAAATTGAGGGATGTTTGAATTGTAGACCTCTCACCTATCTAGAAAGCGACATCAGTGAGGACATACTGCCGCTACGTCCAATTGACTTTTTGCAGCGAGAAATAGATGTGACTCTTCAAATGGAGTTTTCAGATGGAGAAGATCCAAGTTATATGCCCGCTTCCGAGTCATTACGTTTAGAGACTAGGCTACAAACGCAGAAAGCATTGCAGTCGTCTTGTAATTTAACCGAACATTTCTGGGAGATTTGGAAGAATCAATATCTGACAGCTCTTCGGGAACAACATAGGAGGAACATCAACGAAAGAAGAGGAAACTCGAAGGATGTCAAGGAAGGCGCAATAGTCCTTGTAAGAACCACATCAAAAGAGAAGCGGTTGGAAATTGGCACGCATCTCAAAACTACTTCCAAGCAGTGACGGAGCTATAAGAGAAGTAGAGGTGTATTACAACAAGAAGACACTCCGACGTCCAGTCAACCAGCTTATCCCTCTGGAGATTATAGACAACGATGATGAACCTCAACAGGGCAGAGCATCATGTAGTCAAACGGAGCAACAATTCTCAAAAAAGCACTACAATCTTCGTCCAAGAAAGACTCCCAGTTGTAGAGAAAATCATCACCCGCAGAGCAATGTTAACCACTTTACATCAAGAGCATCCAAACCTTGGTCAACAACACTTTACTTAAAAATGGCACTTGGTTTAGCTCTAATATCATTTGTCACTAAAGGTCAAGGTACAATCCAAGGGTGCCAAAGCATTGAGTATCATTCATATAGCGAAACCACGAAATATCATAGCGACTCTCATGTAATAAGTAGCACAGTGAACCCGAAAGCATTCGCAACGGTTGTTTTGCACTCTGGGGAAAAGAAAGGCCACAAAATAACTGAGAAAAAAGAGCATGAATTTGGAATCTTTCATCAATTAGAAAATTCCTATTTTAGAATAATGGCCTCCCAAAGACGTGATGACGAGTTTTCAAAAAAGCGCCGCGCCGAAGAGCATAAGCTGATCGAGGAAATTCGTCGCAAGCGTGCATGCGTTAGAAAGATGCAAGTGTTTCCATCGGAAGAAATCATTCAAAGCAAGATCAGAAATTTTGTGAAATCCATTGTTCTCATTGTAACTTCGAGTTGCCTTAGTGATAAGCATGCTCACATCCGTGGAAATAAGCCCCAGTATTTGGCACACATGCGAGCTGCTCTCTACAAGGCCCATCTGGAGAACATATATTCTGAGACTTGCCATATAATGGCGAAAGAATCCGGAACCTAGCAGAGGGACTATCAATGGCGTACGAACTTTACGGATTGCTAGCATTCTCGGATGAAGAACTTCGGGATTCTCGCGAAATTTTTTTCGGACAAGATGAACAGGGTGTTACGTTGGAGCCGAGCTTCACAGCCAACTTCATCCACAAAGAAATCGAGTTCCTCGAAGATCTCAAAAGGCAAATATGGAACGAAATCACAGAGGCAAAACTCCAAGAGGAAAATGAAAATCACGTCAATGCTTTCGAGAACATAAGGGAAATGATTTTGGAAATGCGTCAAGATTTCGAAGAGAAACATACGAAAGTCCAGCAAGAGATCAACGAGCAGAGTGAAAAAATAAAAGAAATATTCGAAAGGCTTGAAGAAATAAGCAACGCAATGACAAAACAAAGTCAAGCACGTCTGGACGACGAGCAACCACCAAAGAGGATGAGAACGAAATCAGGCAAAGTGCTGTAAACTTAGAAAGAGCCGAAGAAGATCTACCTAGACATACCCGAAGAAGACGAGCTCGAAAAATACGGATACTACAGCCAGTCCACAAGGGGACAAGTCCAGCTACATCTTTTGGCGACGAGCAATCGGCAAAATCTAGCCCGGCTATATCTGAACGATGAACTCGAAAAATACGGATACTACAACCAATCCACAAGGTCAAGTCCAGCTGCATCTTTTGGAGAAGAGCAATCGGCAAAATCGAGCCCGGCTATATTCGACGATGAACTCGAAAAATATGGATACTATGACGAATCCACAAGATCCAGCCCGAATACATCTGACGATGAGCAAAGCATGAAGGAAAGAAGTTATCCTGGAAGCCAGAGAAGAAATAAATTAGAGCAGCGAGGTGAACGGATCAACTCATATCTGAAGACGATGGCAAACGTGCCAGAACGAAGAATAAATCGCATAGATCAAATGAGATCCAAGGACAGGTTTCTGGTCTGCTCCTTCTGCCTGGAAAAAGGATTGCACTACTCAGACAGTTGTCCCTCATATGTCAGTGTCAAATCGAGGAAAAGGCGTGTTCGATGCCAACAATGTCTGGATAGCCGCCGCCACAACACAGAAGAGTGCAGGAATACAAAGAAAAGGTGCAGGTACTGTGGATCAAAGGATCACGATAAAGCTCTCTGTGTTCTGCCGGGAGACATCGACGACTACTACAGAGAACTTGACGAAATTAGGAGAGAGCTCGAAAGTCTTCCAGACTATTATGGACCACATAACCCACCCGAACCGCAGTAATCGTCAGGGGGGAATGTCACGGATGTGACTACAGAGCATAGAGCATTGTAAAGCCTACCTTAGTTGTTTGACAGTTAGTTTGTTGTTGAGATATGTTTGTTATAGTTTGGTATTGAATGTTCCACACATAAAAATTAAACTCATGGTTCGATGGCGAAGATTTAAGATCAGTTAATGAAAATGCTGTTAGAGCAATTCAAAGCTGGCCACATGTCGTTTCGTTGGCCATCAAGTTTCTTCAGTATGGAGTTAGCAATATCCCGTTCGTTCACTTT